CGCCGATAAAGGGGGGAGCATAGTGATACTCTCTAAAGAATACTATGAGAACGAATTGGAATCCCAATTAAGGGATGCCACTACATACCTCCCCTTATCAAAGACCCCACTCATCAATTTAAAAAGGATCTTGTCGCATTGGTCAAGAAAGGAAAGGATAATAAGATACTAAAATAAAAAAGAAGCCCTTTATCTGGTTCCAGATGTATGCAGATTACCAGTTATCTATACTTTACCAAAAGTGCATAAAGATCCTTTGCATCCACCTGGGCGACCCATTGTTAATGGGATACAATCTGTTATGTCTAGGATGGGTCAATATGTTGACACATTTCTTCAAACCCCTTGTGATTAAAACTAAGGCCTATCTGAGGGGACACCAAGCACCTCATACAACTTCTAGATGGTATTAGTAGCAACGATGGTATGTTGCTTGCGAGTGCAGATGTGTCTGCTCTATATACCATCATTGACCATGAGGATGCAATGGACTCAGTGGGATGGGGTAATATCGGTACATATGGGGACCTTCAGTGGTCGCAGAGGAAATTTGTCTTGGAAAGTTTAGAGTACTGCCTCTCCCACAATTATTTTTGGTATAGTAAGCAATTCTATAAACAAATGAAAGGAGTGGCTATGGGGGCAAGGTTTGCCCCCAGTGTGGCCAATCTGTTTATGGCCCACTGGGAGGAAGAGGCTGTATACCGTGATCCCCCTAGACAACTACTCCTGTATAAAAGAGATATATTGACGATATTGTCATTATTTGGGATGGAGTGGAATCTGATCTATTGAAGTTCTTGAATCAGTTGAATAGTAATGACAAAAACATTAAGCTTTCATGGGAAGTAGCGGTTACAATCTATCAACTTTCTGGATTTGTGCATTTCTACTAAAGATAATATCCTGCATACTAAAACTTTTTTCAAAAAAAGTCGATCGGAATGGATATATTCCACTAGATAGTTGCCATTTCCCTCCGTGGCTGATGAATATTCCGAAGGGACAATTGGTAAGACTTAGAAGGAACTGCACAGATATTAAGGATTACTATGAGCAAGCAACTATTATGGAAGAAAGATTCTGCAGTAAAGGTTATCCTAGAGTTATTGTTAAAAATAAGATTGCTGAAGTGGGAAAGATGGAGAGAAGCAATTTTCTTTTGGATAAACCCAAAATAAAAGGTTCTGAGGATTATATGGCAATTATTTTGGACTTTAACAGCAATTATAAACAAAATAGAAAAAGTATTTAAGCGACATTGGCCGATTTTAATGACAGATCCTGTTCTTTCAAAAAATTATTACCTCCGATACCGAAATTTACATATAGGAAGGCTCCTTCTCTTAGGTCTAAACTAGTCCGTAACGTACTAGACCCCCCCACTAAGAGTCCTAAAGTTACGTTTCTTGATCATAAAGGGTTTTTCCCGTGTAAATCTTGCTATGCCTGTAAGGCCACTAGGGGTCTTAATCGTAGATTGAGTTCATTCACAGCTACTAGCAATGGAAGGGCCTTTCAGATCGAAGACTTTATATCTTGTAAAACAGAGGGGTTGTGTACGTCCTTCAATGCGGTTGTGGTCTGCAATATGTAGGACGGACAAAAAGGCCCCTGTGGGTTCGGCTGAGAGAACATGTTTCAAAATATAAAAAAGGGTTTTCCAAAACATAGTTTATCCAATCATTTCCGGCTTTGCCATAACCAAGATCCCTCTAGTCTTAGATTTTGGGGAGTTGCAAAATTCAAAAAAACATTGGAGAGGGACCCATAAAGTGAGGTCTTTGAGTCAGGTAGAATCTAGATATATTTTTTTGATGGACACGTTTGCCCCTATGGGACTTAATATTGAGTTCGATTTGAATTGCTTTATTAGTGATCGGTAATTTACTTTTATATATTTTTATATTTTTTATGCTGGTTTATGTCTGTTATTATGCATTAGGAGTGAGAGTCCATGCATGATCATAGGGGGAGCTATATATGTTATATATATTTTTGTTCTTATTTTCTATTCTTTGGATTCACCTTTTTTAAGGTATTTTTAGTAATACATTTTTTATGTATTTTATTAGTTTTTTATATATATAAATATTTTCTTTATATATATATATTTTTTACACACATTGTTTAATGTGTAGTGTATTTTGGCATGTCATGTATTGATGGACATGCGTTCAGATCGTATCTTATTTTTATCCCTTTTTTAATAAAGCATGTGGTTTCCACATCTGGTTTTAATGTTTGTGTCCCCAGTATTAACATACCTTACAGAGTAATTGGCTTTTTTTTCCCAAATTACTATATCTTTGGTCCTATTGTGATTATTAGACACAATGGGAAAGTATCTGTGTTACATTGGACTACAGTAATATGGCCGCGATGGAACCGCCCCTTGTCCTTGATTGGTGCGGTCCTCGGTCTTTATAAGGAAGTACTGTCGGCCAATCACGCTGTCCTGACGAAGTCACGAGTTACGTGACGCAACGCGTCGACGTTTATAGCGTGGTGACGTATTTCCGGCGTGGCGCCATTTTGGAACACCTTCTGATCATGCTGTACACCCAATCCATGGGGAAAGATACTGCCGTTATGTAAGTGTATGTTTCTCCTGTTTTTCTTGGCTTACTGTGATTGTCTGGCCATTAAAATCAGTAATACACTATGAGGATTGTGTTTCTCTCCTCATTTATGAGCATACGAGCTTTCTGACATCTGAGGAGGGCACACTCTGTATGTCCGCTGGTCCGGCTGGAGGTTATTCTTATTCATGTGATGTCCCGCCCATGCCATTTCTCTTTGAGGAGCTACTGGTTGGAAAGGACCCAGAGGTGATCTGCAATATGCTTTGTGGCCCTGTGGGGTCATAGAGTGGAGGTGAGAGGCCATTGCAGCCAGACTGCCTTGGATCACGTTTGGAGTGTGCTGTGATTCACCTGCACGTTTTAAAGATATGAACTATGGACACTGCATTTTGCACTAAGCCACTATTATCTACCTGTTAAGGGTTTTTTGCCTGTTCCCATATCCCCCGGTGGATGTGGGTTATCTGCTATCATATTTAGTTTATTATATGTGTTTTCTGTTAGCGCTGCATCATTTTTATATATTAGTTCTCATTGTCCTTTTTTTTGGTATAGGATAGATGCTGGCGGCTTCTTTTAGCTGAATATTGTATCCACCATAAAAGCGCAGGAGGATTTATATTTACTTGTAAGCCGTGTGCCTTGTACCTCGTATGAGCATTCAGTTACACACTAACAGGAACTTTCAGTCAACTACCACAGCGTTCAATAGCGCCATAGTGGTTCATCGGGAACTATAACCTGACAGCCGCAAAGGCTGTCAGTACTTGTAGTTTTCCCATTCACAGAATACTGTGCATGAGTGACACGGTGGGGTGGGCGAAGCCCCGCACGGCCGCATCTTTTTTTTGAATTGTGGCAGCAGACATGAGAACAAGATCCCGGTCTGCTGTCACTGTGGGGGGTCCGCACTTTTGTGATACAGGTGTAACATGTTAGAAAAGGTGAGATTGTCCTTTTAAAAACAAATGCATGCATAATAAATGCTTAACAGGACTTGAGTGTTTGTATGTCTTTTTCTGTTCTTCCCTATGTATGATTTGCCTAGATGGCTCGATTTAACCACTTCAAGTCCGGATACTTTCACCCCCTTCCTGCCCAGGCCAATTTTCAGCTTTCAGTGCTATCACACTTTGAATGACAATTGCGCGGTCATGCAACACTGTACCCAAATGAATTTTTTTAGCATTTTTTTTGAGACGGATAAAGCTTTATTTTGGTGGTATTTATATACCACTGGGATTTTTTTTTTTGCTATACAAATGAAAAGTCCAAAAATTTTGAAAAGTTTTTCTTATAAAAAGTTTAAAATAAATAATCTTTCTTCATAAGTCTTGGCCAAAATTTATTCAGTTATCTTTTTAGTAAAAAAAAAATAACCCAAATTAGTTTATAACCAAAATGTATAATAATAAAAAAAAAAAAAAATGATATAAAAAAAATAAAAATGTATAAAAATGTTTAAACTTACTGTCACCCCAGCAGTACAGTGTCACCATGGTGACACTGTACTACTTGTGGGGGGTTATGAAGATTTTTTTTTTTACACTGATTTCTTTTACACCCATAAAGGCTGTAAAAGCAATCATTTCTCCTACTCTCTGGCTGCATTCCTGCAGCCATTGAGAAATACGGTGTGAGCTGTGATTGGTCACAGCTTGTCACATGGTACAAGGCTGTTGTGTATAGCCCTGTGCCATGTGACCTCTGATCATTCACAGATTTCACACGTAGTAAGCAATGATGTCAGAAGTGACATCTTGTTTACTACTCATGTGATCACTGATTGGCCAATCAGTGATCACATGATTGGGACCTCGCGCAGAGGTCCTGTACAATGATCCTCTGGACACAGTGGGCACCGGATCGCGGTGCTGCGCGCTCCCAGGGAGTGGGCACAAGCAGGGGTCAGGAAGGCTGTTTATAAACGGCCACCTGACCCTGCACTGCTCCCGTCCGGCCGTTTATGTACATGGGCCGGACGGGAAGTGGTTAAAGGCTAGAAAATGTACAGAGAAAAGTATCCCTGACTACGCCCTGGTGGGGGAGGCAAAATGCATCAGGATGAGTGGTTTGGAGCAGATATGTAAGGCTGAGGCCAATTTTTAGTGTTTCTTCACCTGGGCTGGTGGGGCGATCCTTACCCCTTTGCATTTACTAGCCCCCTGGACTGGTATTATAACAGGCCTGCACCCCATGTTCTGTGACACAGAGATATGTTTTCACCTCTACTTTGAGTGGTGCGAAAAGCAATCCTAACAGGTCACAGTAAACAAAGGGCTAGAACACACATCTGCTGCTTTTTACTACATCAGCAGGCAGCTGCCATTTTTGCTGTCCCTCACCTGCAGGGAGCCGGCCTTCATACATCGTCTATCCTGCCATTGACTTGTACGTGTGTTTCTGTCCCCGCAGGCACATCTTCCTGGGTTTCTCCAAGTGTGGCCGCTTTGTGTTGTCATATACCAGTGATGTCCTGGACGATGACTTCTCCTTCTACTCCTATCACCTGTACTGGTGGCATTTCCAGGGGCACAGCAAACTGCGTCTGGTAAGAGCCATTGCTTGTTCACTTTTTATTAACAGATTCCAAAATCTGACCTGTTCTGTTACAGCAGTGCAAATGCTCACGAATTCTGGTTGCCAAAAAGTTTTTTTGTGGTCCAGTACAGAGGGGAACATCAGGGATCACAAATGATCTCACGCTGCAGAAATACAGCTGTGTGGGTCAAGGCAGAAGAAGCGCTCTTTAGGGTACTGCTTGAATGCAGTTAACACTTATAAATGTTTTCTAGAACATCACAAATATTAACTTTTTGACTTCAGGTCCACTTTAATTATAACTTTTTTTTTTTTTTTTTTTTTTTTTTTTTTTTTTTTTTTTTTTTTTTTTTTTTACATAAAGGGCTAGTGGATAATTATTGATCGATACCTTATGGCCAATACAGAGGTTTAGCAGAAAAAAATAAATTTTTTGCTGTCTTACTACTTAGACAGAGAGCGACTGCAAGTTAGCATCACTAACAGGATCTAAGACTTGCACACTACCCTCTGGTTCCTCTGCGTGTCCACTGGTAGGAGCAGGGAGCAGGGTTTGCAGACTTTTGGCCTGGAATCTCAAAGGCATTTGAAATGTGTTGAAATTCTTGTATTTCCTGTAAGATAGGCTGCTTATTCCAAGAGGGATCCTAACTTGCCTTTTGAGTATCTTCAAACCATGTGAAATTTCATTCTTCAGTGAAATATTTGTGGTCAGTATGTCACCGTCAAAGTGATTCCTAGTCTTCCCCTTTTAAGTTTCCAGCAGAACAGCCCACTAAATCTTTAGTTGACTGTATGAGTTGTCCCTATGAACCAGACACAAATGGTGGGGGTGGGCTAGAGCTTTCGATCAGGGCTTTTTTACTTTTTTTTTTGGTTCATCTGACATGGAAATGTAGACTCCTAACTGACCTGGTGCCAACGAAGGCATGTCTACCCCTCTTTACATTCTCGTTTGCTTTAAGCACTCGCAGGTTGCGGGGGGGAAAAACCCCCCACATTGCATGAGTTAACTGCTCGTTTTGTCCAGGGGTGTAATGAAAGGCTATACTCTACCTGATCCTTCAATCCTCTGGAAAACCGTGCTCCCCCATGTCCAAGGGTGGACTATTCCTGCCGTCCTTATATCCAGAGCCGGTCTATGGGCTTGATGACATCAGGAACAGTCCACTTCACAAGACCGCTAGCGTGCAGGAGCGGCAGGGACCAGTCTTGCGATCAGAGGATCTTTGGATTAGGTAAGTATATCTCTGCTCTTCTCACCCCTAGACAAAAAAAAGCAGTAAAAGCGGGGTTCCAGCCGTTTTTGTGTCTATTAAAAGTCAGCAGCTACAAAAACTGTCTCAGGGCCCGGCAATGTGCTCACCTGTGCTGTCCCTTCTCTCCACGGTGTCGGCATCTCAACTGTGGGTACCAGTGTGTTACAGCTTGCGGCTTCACTGCAGGGTGCCCAATGTGCATGCTAGAGTCGCGCTGTGCATCCTGATTGGTCCGGTAGTCTTCTGGGACCTGTGAAAGTTCCCAGGAGACTGTGGGAGGAAGGAGGGGGCTGAACTTCTGGCTCCCTTTGCAGCGGTGAACGGAGCCAGAAGTGGGAGCAAGTACCTGTCAAAACCAGGCACCCGCTGCCCCCTCCCCACCAAAAGGTGCCAAATATGGCATTGGAAGGGGAGGCAAACAAGCGGAGTGTGGGTGGAACTCCGCTTTAACAAATGCAGTGCATGCACAGCCCCACTGCATGGGAAATTTATTTATTTATTTATTTTCCCCTGAGTTCTTCTTTAAATTCAAACATGGGCAAGTGTACACATATCCCATACATTCCATTATACATCAGGCTTTAGAGAAATCGTAACTGTGGCAAAGTTACACATAGTCTGGATGAAAAAAATACACAAGTCTATCCAGTTCAACCAATAGAGGTTATACAATGCTCTATACACAATCCAATATACACCGTTGATCCAGAAGAAGGCAAAAAACCCCAACTAAGCATCATCCAATTTGCTCCAGCATTGGAAAAAATCCCTTCCTGATCCCCTAAGAGGCAATCTGATATATCGTGGATTAGCTTTACCTATAAATGTTGGTATCCAGTTATATTTTCTGTATCTAGGAAAGAATCCAGGACTTTTTTTTTTTTTTTAAAGGTGGAAGTATATACTGTATCGTTCTCAAATTCATGGTTCATTCCCTCTGAATGGGAGAATAATAATTGCAACAATTAAAAAAAAAAAAAAGGGGGGGGTTGTCTTGGAGTTGTGTGGTATATTCTCTTGTCCCTACTGAGGAAGATGAATGAATATGGTGGTGTCAGGGCCTTATTTCACATGTGGACACAGTCTGATCGAGCGAGGCGATAGGATCGGCAGGGAAGGGGGCTAGTGAAGAGAGTTTGGGAGATGGAAAGAGTATGGGGAGGTAGGTAGAAGGGGGGAGAGAGGCATGAAGGAGAAGACAGAATGGGTAAAGGGAAAGGGTGCATCAGGAATAGGTTTGCAGGTGTAACAGACATGGAAGCGATTTCCTCTAGGAGGGGATGAATCAGAGGTTCTATGAGTCAGTGCCAAGGGAACCACAGTTCTGTACTTGGCCCCTCAGAGATCAAAATGGAAAGGTAATGGCACTTCTGGTCCAGCCATGTGGAGGAGTAAATGAAGTCGGTGCAAGGGGACCACTTATTGCGGCATTTCTTTATTATGAAGAGTTGCAGTAAAGTCTTCCATCTGTGAGTTCCCGTGCATTTTTGAAAACCATAAGGACAGAGAGGGGTTATTGGTTTGTTTCCAGAAAGCTGAAACACATGCTCAGGCTGGTTTAAAGGAAGGTTTTAACCAAGGGCTTTCCCCAGCATGCAGGCATGCATTCAATCTGTCATTTTGTAAAGCGCTATATAAATCCTGTATTATTATTATAATAATAACACAGGTCTGCAAAAAAATTTTTCAAGAGCTGTTTTGGTTATTCCACGTAATCTTTGTTTTTTGGTGCGCTGAATCCGAAAATGACCTCCATTTTGTCATAGGACATCACGTTTCCTGACGATTTGGGTAACTATGTTAAATAAGACAATACCTCAAAATAAATGGAAATAGACTTATAAAATTAAAGTTTTATTACAATTTTTTCATGAAAATCCTTTTTTGAACTGAAATGAGCTCACCTACACACACTAAAGTCGATTCTTCATCCCTGTGAGGCTCCTCTTGATGCATTTACGCTTGTGAGTAGCATCTGGAATGTCTCTCTGAAGCATCCAACAGTAGTCCGCCATCATTGTAATGCTCCATTTTCCTTGGTATCTCCTTTCCATCTCTTTAATGTCTTGGTGGAATCGTTCACCTTGTTCCTCACTCAGCTCCCAATTTTCAGGAAAGTAGTCAAGGTGGGACTGGAGGAAATGCACTTTCAAACTCAGGCAACCTAAAGCTTGAAGTGCCTTCAGCATTTGTCCGACGATCGTTTTGTAGTGAGGATATTTGTTATTGCCTAAAAATTTCTGTACGACTTCTTTAAATGCAATCCACCCTTCTTTGTGAGGATCCGTCATGGTATTGACAAACTCTTGATCAACTATAAGCCTTCTAATGTCGGGTCCGACGAACACACCTTCCTTCAATTTTGCCTCCGACGAACACACCTTCCTTCAATTTTGCCTCCGACGGGCCTGGAAACTTGGTGACCAAGTATTTGAAGCATTCTCCATCTCTTGGAAGTGATTTTACGAATTGCTTCATCAATCCCAATTTTATGTGGAGAGGTGGTAGAAGAACTTTATGGGAACGTACCAACGTTTCTCGGAGGACATTTTTTTTCACCGACTGTTAGCACCCTCGGCTGCCAACTCTTCTTGGTTCAGTGATTTTGTCGGTCTCGACTGTCCCATAGGCATAGAAAACAAGGGTATTTGGTATCCCACCCACTGGATTCTTCAGGAAAGATTAACCCCTTCTACCATTAGAAGCACAGACTCAGGGCTGAGGCTTACACATACAGCATGCTGCTGAGTATCCCAGTAGTCAGACATGTCACTCGGAGCAGCACTTGTATTCACCCCCTTTGCAGGGGGGGGGGGAGGGGCAGAGATTGCTTACCTGCAAATAACAAAGGGCCAGAAGAGAACTAGGGAAATGAGGAAATAGAATTCTTTTCCCCTAAAACTTGTTTAGCTTATGTATATATTGATGACCATCAGATTTGCAATGCTATATTTTTTTTTTACATAACTCGGGACAACCCCTTTTAAGGTTTTTTTTTTGGCATTTTATATCTTAAATGCATTTATGTGAATTAATAGTAATTTGGACTTTAAATTTGGTTAAAAACCCATATTATAAAAAAAAACCAAAAATTAAAAAAATTGATAAATTTGAAGACCATTTTGCATTTTGTGGCAAATCATGACGTCTAGGAATTTTTTCAATCAATTTTAGTTTTCAGCACACCAAAATACATGGAAATTAGATGAAAATAATCAAACAGCTTTTTAGTCGCAGACCTGTGTAATTTACCCATGCAGGGCAAAGAAACTGGTTCCTATTGTTCCCCCTCCCACCCTATTCAGCTGTTGGAAGAGGGAACAAAAGCAATGTGTAATCTCCAAGTGACATGCTATAGATAGATATATTTTTTTCTAAACATGATAGAAACTCATCTTATAAACTGGTAACTTTTTTTTTTTTTAAAGAACGAAATCGTAAAAGTAACCTTTAATTGTGTTACACTTGTCCCCAGGTACGGCAGGTACGGCTCTTCCAGGATGAGGAAATCTACAGTGACCTCTTCCTGACAGTGTGCGAGTGGCCCAGTGACAGCTCCAAGGTCATTGTGTTTGGCTTCAAGTAAGTCTTCCATTTTCACACATCCTCCCAGTCCTTTACCTCGCCCCAGACCACAGTAACCTCTGTTTCCTTCCTCAGCACTTCTGGCAATGGGATGATAATGAATATGATGAGTGATGAGAATCATCGTGATATTTACATCAGCGCTGTGTCTATACCTCCAATGTCACCCTGTATAGACTGCCGGGAGTCTGCGATTGGTAAGTGGAGTTTGTACCATGTCGCCTCTTCCAGTACATCATATGGTCATGTTTCCACAACTGTAAACTGCCTTTATTAATTCAGTGACATCATAAATGAAGATTTCATTAATTTTCTGGTTCTCCGTGCCTACACAGAATATTTGAAACATTACCTGTTGGGAATATTGTACACAGAGAGAGTCTATACCTGGGACAAGCTCCGTATTAAAGAATATAAACCCAACATTTAATATTTCTGTTATGTGCCTGCTGTACCATGTACTTGTATGAAAAAGTATCCTGTTCCCTCTGTATTGCTTCCTTTTTGTGAAATTCCTGGTGTTCCTGCTAGTCACTCTGCTGTCCTGTTAAAAACTGACCACGCTAGACATGAGAGCACAGTATGATCAGTTTTCTAGTTGTGCAAGAAGCTAATCTGATGTTATGGTATGATGGGTAAGTATCTGCCTGTATCTCTCTGCACTGAGGACACTATTGATCCTGACCAAATCTCCAACTCCATTTGCACAAATGCAGCCCCAAACTTGCAAGGAACCTCCACCATGTTTCACTGTTGCCTTCAGACACTCATTATTGTACTGCTCTCCAGCCTTTCGCCAACAAACTGCCTCCTGCTACAGCCAAATATTTTTCTGCACCCCAGTTCTTATGTTTTCATGCATAGTTGACTTGCTTAGCTTTGTTTCCACATTAGAGGTATGGATTTTTGTCCGCAATCCTTCCATGAAGACCACTTTAGGCCAGACTTCTCCGGACAGTAGATGGGTGTACCTAGGTTCCGCTGGTTTCCACTAGTTCTATGCTGATGACTCTGCTGCATACAGTGAGGAACAGAAGTATTTGAACCCCCTGTGATTTTGCAAGTTTTCCCACTTAGAAATCATGGAGGGGTCTGAAATTCACATTGTAGGTGCATTCCCACTCTGAGAGACAGAATTAAAAAAAAAATTCAGGATATCACATTGTATGATTTTTAAATAATTTATCTGTCTTGCACTGCTGAACATAAGTATTTGAACACCTGAGAACATCGGTGTTAATATTTGGTACAGAAGCCTTTGTTTGCAATTACAGAGGTCAGACGTTTCCTGTAGTTCCTGACCAGGTTTGCACTGCAGCAGGGATTTTGGCCGACTCCTCCACACAGATCTCCTCTAGATCTGTCAGGTTTCGGGGCTGTCGCTGAGCAACACGGAGTTTCAGCTCCCTCCAAAGATGTTCTATTGGATTTAGGTCTGGAGACTGGCGAGGCCACTCCAGAAAAGAGTAGGGGAAAAAATGTCAGTGGTCTCCACCTGTAAAACCATTCCTGTTTTGGGGGACGTCTCATTGTTGTCCATTTAGTGCATCTGTTGCAGGAGTTTCGTTGACTTGATGGTGTGTGTGTGTGTGTGTGTGTGTGTGTGTGTGTGTGTGTGTGTGTGTGTGTGTGTATAGTTGTGTTCAAAATAATAGCAGTGTGTTGAAATAAGTGAATAAAGCTCAAAATCCTTCTAATAGCTTTTATTTTTATTTCCATCCACACAAATGCATTAGGAACACGACACATTCTATTCCAAATCAAAACATGAAGAAAAATACAACAAATTTGTGTTTCTCTAAAAATATTGAAGAAAAGTGAATATTAGACTGTTCAAAAAAAATAGCAGTGTTTGTATTCTTCTTTACAAACTCAAACATTCACTATACCTGTGACCAGGTATTCCAGCCCAGGATGATTGGACGACATTCCACAGTTCTTCTCTATTTCTTGGTTTTGCCTCAGAAACGGCATTTTTGATGTCACCCCACAAGTTTCCTATTGGATTAAGATCCGGGGATTGGGCTGGCCACTCCATAACGTCCATCTTGTTGGTCTGGAACCAAGATGTTGCACGTTTACTGGTGTGTTTGGGGTCATTGTCTTGTTGGAACACCCATTTCAAGGGCATTTCCTCTTCAGCATAAGGCAGCATGACCTCTTCAAGTATTCTGATGTATTCAAACTGATCCATGATCCCTGGTATGCGATAAATAGGCCCAACACCGTAGTATGAGAAACATCCCCATATCATGATGCTTGCACCGCCATGCTTCACTGTCTTCACAGTGTACTGTGGCTTGAATTCAGTGTTTGGGGGTCGTCTGACAAACTGTCTCCGGCCACTAGACCCAAAAAGAACAATCCTTACTTTCATCAGTCCACAAAATGTTGCGCCATTTCTCTTTAGGCCGGTCAATGTGCTCTTTGGCAAATTGTAACCTCTTCAGCACACGTCTTTTTTCAACAGTGGGACTTTGCGGGGGCTTCTTGCAGATAGCTTGGCTTCACATAGGCGTCTTCTAATTGTAACAGTCCTCACAGGTAACGTTAGATCTCTTTCATCTTCCTGGAGCTGATTGTTGGCTGAGTCCGTGCCATTTTGGCTATTCTTCTATCCATTCCAATGGTAGTTTTTCACTTTCTTCCACGTCTTTCAGGTTTTGGTTGCCTTTTTAAAGCATTTGCCATCATTTTAGCTGAGCAGCCGATCATTTTCTGCACTTCTTTATATGTTTTCCCCTCTCCAATCAACTTTTTAATCAAGGTACGCTGTTCTTCTGAACAATGTTTGGAACGATCCATTTTCCTCAGAATTTCAGAGAGAAATGCACTGTAACCAGCATGTCCAACATTTGCTGCCTTCCTTCCTTAAATAAGGGCAATAATTGCCACCTGTTTTTCAAAGAATGAATGACCTCACTAATAGAACTCCACACTGCTATTATTTTGAACATGCCCCTTTCAATGAGTGATTCAATTACACAGAATCAGCAGCATGCATGTCATGACTGTTGGATTTCTATTACTCTACTACACCTGCTAGTACATTATTTGCCATGTAGAAATATCATTTCTACCAAACACAGTGATTGATCCGGTTAGTGATGTCTGACTGCTATTATCTTGAACACAACTATGTGTGTGTGTATGTGTATGTATATATGTATGTGTATATGTAATTTTTGCTTACCTGTCTGTAATGAAAATGGGGTGTTCCCAAACATGCCCACGGTGGACTCCTGTCTCCCACAAAGTCAGATTCAGACCTGCTATGGAAGGTTGAGTCTAATGACCCAACAACCACAGAGAGGAAGTTCTAGAACAAAGGCTTTGGGAAGTTGCTCATGTGAGAAGCTGTCTGCCATCTGGCCGTAGTGGAGTAAAGGGAACGTTGTATAAGGTTTTATTGGCTGGAGTTCACTCTCTAACTTTTTGCAAGACTTCTCTTGTAGATCACAGGGGTGCACTTATGTTTGCTCTCCTGTGATCCAAAGTTGGCTGAGAGGGGGCACACCGCTGAGAACCTGAGCCAGCCGCTCTCCTGCCCGGCACTCCAGTGAGTGGTGGAGTAGCAGATCAGAGCGCGTTGACTGATCACTACTCTCCACTCTGAGCAGACCGAGAATTGAGTGAGCAGCGATCATGTTCTCGGTGTTAGACAACATGGGACAGCTGTAGCATGGATGGGAGCAGGTGGCCATTTTATAAACGGCCTCCGTATTCCCTGCCTGTGTGCGCTTCCTGGGAGCGTGCGGCACCGCGATCCGGTTGCCCGCTGTGTCCGAAACACCTATCGCTGTAGGGGACCTCTGTGTGAGGTCCTGATTCATGTGATTACTAATTGGCCAATCAGTGATCACATGATTAGTAGTAAGCAAGATGCCACTTCTGACATCATTGCTTACTACGTATGAAATCTGCGAATGAGATTACATGGTACAAGCCTATTCACAACAGCCTTGTACCATGTGACAAGCTGTGACCAATCACAGCTCACACAGTATTTCTCAATGGCTTCCCCCTTTGTAATGTACAGCGCTGAGCGAACTATTGGCGCTTTATAAATACTGAATAATAATAATAATAATAATAATGGCTGCAAGAATGCAGCCAGAGAGGAGAAATAATTGCTTTTGCAGCCTTTATGGGTATAAAAGCAATCGGTGTAAAAAAAAAAAAAGAAAAAAAGAAAACCTTCATTGCCCCCCACAAGTAGTACAGTGTCACTATGGTGATACTGTACTGCTACGGTGACAGTATGTAAAAAAAAACATAAATATTAAAAAAATAAAGTAAAAATGTACAAAAATTTTTAGAATTATTTTTTGGTGTTTAAACTAATTTGGGTTATTTTTGTTTTTACCAAAAAGCTGAATACATTTTAGCAAAGATTTATGAAGAAAGATTTATTTGCAAAATTTTATAAGAAAAACACTTTTTTTTTATTTTTTTTTTCCCCCAAAATGTTTAGAATTTTTCATTTTATATAGCTAAAAAAAAAACCCCAGTGGTGAATAAATACCACCAAAATAAAGTTTTATCGGTCTCAAAAAAATGCTAAAAAATTCATATGGGTACAGTGTTGCCATTCAAAGTGTGATCGCGCTGAATGCTGAAATTGGCCTGGACAGGAAGGGGGTCAAAGTGTCCGGACTGGAAGTGGTTAATAGGTAGAGAAGCAACGATAAGGATCACAGCCCTAATTAGCAATAATGTCCTGTGTTTCTACATTTGTACCCATCTCTGTAAAGTGTGTGTGTGTGTGTGTGTGTATATATGTGTGTGTGTGTGTATATATGTGTGTGTGTGTGTATATATGTATGTGTGTGTGTATATATGTATGTGTGTGTGTATATATGTATGTGTGTGTGTATATATGTATGTGTGTGTGTATATATGTATGTGTGTGTGTATATATGTATGTGTGTGTGTATGTGTGTGTGTGTATATGTGTGTGTGTGTGTGTGTGTGTATATGTGTGTGTGTGTATATGTGTGTGTGTGTATATGTGTGTGTGTGTATATGTGTGTGTGTGTGTGTATATATGTGTGTGTGTGTGTATATATATGTGTGTGTGTGTGTATATATGTGTGTGTGTGTGTATATATGTGTGTGTGTGTATATATGTGTGTGTGTGTATATATGTGTGTGTGTGTGTGTGTGTGTGTGTGTGTGTGTATGTATGTATATGTGTGTGTATGTATGTATATGTGTGTGTGTGTGTGTGTGTGTATATATATATAAAAATTCCTGATTTTATTCTCTGTTCTCAGGTCAGTGTTTGTTGCACAGTTTCATGCTGCATACAAAGTATCAGGTGGTCTATCCATTCCCCACCTTTCAGCCAGCCTTCCAGCTGAAGAAAGATCAAGTAGTGTTGCTGAATACAAGCTATTCCCTGGTGGCCTGTGCCATAACTGTACACCCAGCAGGTAAGTGGTCTGTCCAGCTTTGCTGACTCTCATTTCATCCGTGTGGGGTACACTTTTTTTTTTTTGTTTTTGTAAATGAGGTCTGGCATCGTACCCCCACGTGTCCAGACAAGACTGTAACTTGCTCATTGTTTAAAGCCTGTATTGGGAAGTGCATGGGTCTTTTCTGTTTTTGTTTCTCAAAGGTGACCAGGAACCCAGCCGTATCCTCTACAGCAAACAGAGCCACCACAACACACGCCCTAACGCCTCCCCTTCCGTCAGCCCCTGTGCCTCTTCTTCAAGCAGTCAGTCCCCTCACCCACCCGACCCCAGTTCCCCCCCTCCCCCAGGAACTCCTCCCGCTGTCACCCGCGCACGTGAGTTTGTGGCCGGGATATTCCGGCGGGCTCGTGAGGCTTCGGGCATAGAGCACCAGGACAAGGGAGAGAAGGCCGGGCCCAGCCGACAGAGCCCTTCTCAGCCTGCTGAACCGGACTCCCCTGTATGGCACAGGCCTGCCGGTGAAGGCTCCACACAAAAGAACAATCGCAGCGAGGAACCCAGCTACGTCAACTACACAAGACTGCGATATGTCCTGGGGGAGGTGACCGAGAGTGATCGAGAGAGCGGTAAGAGCGCTGGGGTGTTGGTATACACAGGTATCCTCCCCTTTTGTCCTTGTATGAATAATTGGCATTGCAACCCAAATAGAAATTGAGGAGTAGTGCAATATGTAAATAAGACACACGACACAGAACTAGTAAGAAGGGGTCATTTTATTGGAAAGAAGTAAAGAATTTAACCCCTTGACGCTGACGTAACACAAATATGCGGCCTCACAGAACTGGGCTTTTTTCCGTGGGGGCCGCATATTTGCGTACCTGTCTTTATGCTGGGAGCGCGCCGCACAGCGCGCTCTCAGCACAAAGACCGCAGTGTCACTGAGCGCACCAGGTCCGGTTTTAACGATCGGGACTCCTGATTCCGGGTCACATGATCGCTGTGATGGCCTCTAATTGGCTATCACAGTGATCAGTCACTACATCCCAGCCCCCTTGTTTTTTTTTTTTTTTTTGGTTTTTTTCTCTCTATGACTGGAGGAGAGAGATGCAGTCTATCTAACTCCTGGCATAGAGAGAGAAAAAAGTTACGGAAAAAAAAAAAGCTAAGTATTAAAAAAATAAAGAAAAAATACCTAGATCAAGGTTTGATCTAGTTCAGTGCCAGGGTAAGTGTTTGGGTCAAGGTCCGGGTCAAAGGTCAAGATTTTAAAAAAATTGGTGTCGGTTTTAGGTAAAAAAAAAAGACAAAAACAAAATGTGCACTATTGTTTCTGGGCTGTACTCCGGGTACAAACCACAAATAACATACACATATATGGTATCGCTGTGATTGTCAAGAGCTGGAAAATTTTATTTTGGGTTGTTCTTTGGTGGTAGGTTATGGTAGTAACAAGAATCACACAGCTAAATAAAAAAATATATATTCTTTTTTTTTACTATTTTGGGCCAGTTTTCCTTTTGATAAAAAAAAAAAAAAATCAGGAGATATCCATTGCTATTTACCACCAAATGAAAGCCCAATTTGTCCTGAAAAAAACGCGGTATAATTCACCTGGATGTACAAAGTAGTTGTGGTGATATGTACGGTTTTTACGAACACATATCAACATTGCAAAATTGTGCTTAGGCATTACGATTTGTTTTACCCTTAGGCGTGAAGGGGTTAAGATCTCTGAGGTGGGCATGTAGTACTTGATGTATGTCACATCCATTGCGCCTTCTTCACATAGGCATGCTTAAAGTGGAACTTTATGTCCAAACATTATAAAGAGCAAACCGGCAGGAATTCTAATGCAGAAGAGACATGCTTTGCCTCGTCTGCGTTATAGTTACTTACCTGCCTGTCCGCCCATGTACAGTATACTGCGCATGTGCAGCTCACTGTACAAATCTGACAGAAATCCTGGTAGTGACCAATTACCAGCCAGTGATGGCAGCCGGTAATTGAGACCCGGAAGCCGGCCACCCAGAGTAGTCAGCGGCTGGCCTGGGAGCTCCGGGACACCGCATCACTGGAGTTTAGTACAGTGCCGCTTGAAGCATACATTTGTGCAGCGGACCATGTTTGCCCACACAGGATGCACGGGTGTTCATGCATTCACATGCAGGCAGTCCCATTCATGTCTGTTGGATACAGCCGGTGAACAGACACAGCCACTGGTCCAAATTTGACAGACGTGCAGGTCCGTGCCCCTAGACCAGGGGTAGGCAACCTGAGAGCCGCAGGACTACAAGTTCCATCATGCCTCTGCAAGTCATAGCTGTAACTATCAGTTTTGTAATCTTTGCAATGCCTTATGGGAAATGTAGTTCCACAACAGCTAGAGAGCCACAGGTTGCCTACCCCTGGCCTAGACGCACACTGTCTGAACCTGCACAGCTGTCCGATCAGGACCAGTGGCTGTGTCTGAACAAGGACCACCAGATTACTATTTTAATGAAAGCTGCAAACTTAAAAGGATGAAATGATATTAAGATGTTACAGCTTGTATGATATTTTAGAGATTGGATTTAGATCTATTTTAGACGCAGAAATTTCTTCACGCCTTTTTCTGTGTTATCTGAAATATAAATTTCCAATATGGTCGAGAATTCAGTAAAGCTCTCTGGGGACAGTAGGGGCAAGGCAGAAAGTTATGTTCACTTGATTTTCCTGGATATATCAAGAGACGAGTGTATGATTTTTTTTTTTGGGGGGGTATTTTTTTCTTTTAACCACTTCCTGTCCGGGCCATGTACATGAACAGCTGAACAGTGGCAGTGCAGGGGCGGGTTGCCATTCATAAACGGCGCCCACCATTTTGGACTGTGTGCTCTCCCTGGGAGCGCGCAGCAACGCGATCCAGTGCCTGCTGTGTCCTCTAGTCACAGAGGAACACTGATCACTGTACGGGACCTCCTGTGTGAGGTCTTGATCATGCGATCACTGGTTGGCCAATCAGTGATCACATGAATAGTAATAAGCAAGATGTCACTTAAAAGGATGAAATGATATGAACATGTTACAGCTTTGTATATTTTAGAGATTGGATTTAGATCTATTTTAGATGCAGAAAATATCTTCAGGTGAGGAGTTGCAGACATCTGACATCATTCCTTACTACGTGTGAAATTTGTGAATCATCACAGAGATCACATGGTACAAGGCCATTCACAACAGCCTTGTACCATGTGACAAGCTGTGACCAATCACAGCTCTTGCAGTATTTCTCAATGGCTGCAAGAATGCAGCCAGAGAGAGGGAGAAATGATTGCATGTACAGCCTTTATGGGTGTAAAAAAAGCAATCTGTGTAAAAAAACAAAAAAAAAAAAACAGAAATCCTTCATTACTCCCCACAAGTAGTACATTGTCACTATGGTGACACTGTACTGCTAGGGTGACAGTATGTTCAAAAAAACAAAACATTAATAATATAAAAAAATAAAAATGAAAGCATTTTTTTGAAAAATTACAATTTTTGGTTGTTCATTTTTTTTTTTTTTTTTTTTTTTTTACTAAAAAGATAACTGAATACATTTTGGCCAAGATTTTATGAAGAAAGATTATTTGTAAAATTTCATAAGAAAAACACTTTTTTTCAAAATTTTTGGACTTTTTCATTTATATAGAAAAAAAAATCCCAGTGGGGAATAAATGCCACCAAAATAAAGTTTTATCTGTCTCCAAAAATGCTAAAAAATATCACATGGGTACAGTGTTGCATGACTGCGCAATTGTCATTCAAAGTGTGATAGCGCTGAAAGCTGGAAATTGGCCTGGACAGGAAGTGGTTAAATGCGATATTTTCGGCTGTAAAGCTGAATTTCAGTGGGTTAGAGCAAGTTTTAATACTTTGAGTCCCAGCAGGGTATGAAGATGACAAGATGTCTCTGCCTTTCCTGGTTACTGATCTGAAGGGCCAGCACCTAAAGCCTCTGAATGACAAGGCCTCTTTCCAGGTGAGCAGTGCTCCTCCTCTCTGCTGTGTCCTTTTAAAGATGCTGTCCAATCTGATCTTGTTACCTCTGCACTTTTTTTTTTGTTTTTTGTTTTTTTTTTTCCAGGGCCAGCACCTTTGTGTGGAGCAGCTGACACTGGACTTTTTGAGTACGTAATTAACGAGGTCATACGACATGATGCATCATGGTCCCAACAGTTCTGCTCCTTTAGTGACTATGACATTGTCATCCTGGAGGTAAGCAGTGTGTGGGCGCTATATGTTTATCACATTTGTATCCCGTGCAGTGATAGAATCCGTTGTTGTCGTTTTGACCAGTATGGGGATAGAACCAAGTTTACTGAAATCTGTCCTGGGGTTTTCAATGGAATCTGTTTCTTTGCCTCAAAGTGACAGTTTTCCTTGCAGGCCACTACAATTACTCTCACTCAGTATGCTCTGTCAGTACCTAAATTGAAACCTTGTTTCACCACTTGACCTCCAGAAGATTTAGCCCCCCCCCCCCCCCCCACCAGGCCATGTTTTGCTATACGGCAGGGGTCTCCAAACCTTTTAAAACAAAGGGCCAGTTTACTGTCCTTCAGGTTTTATGGGACCGGACTGTGGCCCGTGGGAGTAGAAAATGTCCCAGCATCAGTGGGAGTAAAACAAAGCCCCATCATTGGTTCTGGCCGGAGGAGTAGTGCCCCATCATTGGTTCTGGCCGGAGGAGTAGTGCCCCATCATTGGTTCTGGCCGGAGGAGTAGTGCCCCATCATTGGTTCTGGCCGGAGGAGTAGTGCCCCATCATTGGTTCTGGCCGGAGGAGTAGTGCCCCATCATTGGTTCTGGCCGGAGGAGTAGTGCCCCATCATTGGTTCTGGCCGGAGGAGTAGTGCCCCATCATTGGTTCTGGCCGGAGGAGTAGTGCCCCATCATTGGTTCTGGCCGGAGGAGTAGTGCCCCATCATTGGTTCTGGCCGGAGGAGTAGTGCCCCATCATTGGTTCTGGCCGGAGGAGTAGTGCCCCATCATTGGTTCTGGCCGGAGGAGTAGTGCCCCATCATTGGTTCTGGCCGGAGGAGTAGTGTCCCGTTGTTGGTTTCAAAGGGAGGAATGGTGCCTCATCCATGGTGACAGCTGGAGGAATAGTGTCCCAAGGGCCGGATACAGGCAAGTAAAGGGCCACATCTAGCCCTCGGGCCACAGTTTGGAGACCGCTGCTATACGGCATTGTTACACGCAGTTGCATGGTCATGCAACTCTGTACATAAATAAAATTTTTAATTTTTTCCGCAAATTGTTATTATATCAGGTACTTATATAGCACCATCAATTTACACAGCGCTTTACATATATATTGTACATTCACTTCAGTCCCTAACCCTCAAGGGGTGTACAATCTAAGGTCCATAACCCACATTCATACATACACATACTAGGGACAATTTAGACATTAGGCCAATATGTGTTCTGCTACGTAGTTTTGGTACAAAAAAAAAAAATCCCAATAAGCGTATATTGATTGGTTTGTGCAAACGTTATAGCGTCTACAAACTATGGTGTGTGTGTATATACTAGAATTTTAATATTTATACTAGTAATGGTGGTGATCAGCAACTTATAGCGGGACTGAGTTAGTGTCCGATTGTCAGCTGCAATATCGGACACTTTGTGGAAACCAGTGACACTAACACAGTGATCAGTGCTAAAATATACACTCACTGTACTAATGACACTGGCTGAGAAGGGGTTAAACATCTAGGGCAGGGGTGTCCAAACTTTTTTCAAAGAGGGCCAGATTGGATGAAGTGAACATGGTGGAGGGCCGAACATTTTTCCGAACATTCTTTGAACCATTACAATTAAATGCAAATAAATAATTTTATGCCAAGTTAATTGCAAACGACATACTTTTCATTTCATAACATTAGGATCAACTGACAGCTGAGTTTTCACAATGTATTGAAAATAAATTTAAAAAAAACTTACCTGCACTAATGTGAAGGGTGAAAAAGGTAGCTGGAACTGAAGTCTCTGTTCGTCAGCCGGGGGGGGGGGGGGAGAGAAACACACTTCACGCTGGAAGCCCCGGCCCTGACGTCACCGCCCTCTGTCGCTCCCAGTGCGGCTCAGTCACGCATGCGCACTGCTCTCAAGCAGAAGACTGTCTGCCACAGAAGGGAGGGCCGTGCGACAGCCGCATTTATACAGACCAGGGAGAACGCGCCGCAGTCAGGCATGCGCACTGCCCTCTGCTCTCAAGCAGAAGACTGTCTGCCATAGAAGGGAGGGCCGTGGGAGGGGCACATTACACAGAGCAGGGAGGGCTGTTAGAGGGCCGTATTAAACCGACCCCCGGGCCGTAAATGGCCCGCGGGCCGGACCTTGGACATGCCTGATCTAGGGCAATCAAAGGGTTAACGTTGCTTAGTCAGTTTTTTATATGTGTGGTGTTTTAAGGAATGTGCTGGATTTTATTATCTGCTTTGCAGGGAAACAAAGTCCAGTACCAAATTGACCAATGCCGCCGTTGACAGGACAGCTCTGCCTTGTTCACATAGAGCTGTGTTCTGTCTCTCGTGTGGTTGATGGCGATCATCCATTGGCCGGCACCCGCTGCTGATCGGCTTCTGCTGTGACTATTCATATGAGTGGCACACCGGGGGCGCACGCCCTACCAGGAAGTGCAGACATGCGTGTATGTGCAGATATATATATATAATATAATATAGTGTGTGTGTGAGTGATTCTACACATAGCAGCCATCCTGTAGCAGTAAAGCTTGGTCCAAACAAACTATTAGCTTCAAAAAGATGCAGCAGCTGGGAGCACTGTGTGTGTGGAGCCTCGGCTACATATAGTACACGGCACTGTGTTCCGGTAGTAGTTCCCATTCCACTGCTGGAACAAACTTGAGTCTAGCGAAGTGGTACTCAGCCTTTCCCAGGAAGTTTTGTATTCTATGAATGAAGACAAAGCTTCCTCAGGAGAAGTAGCCAGATGATGTCATGATCTTGGCCAATCACAGGAGGCTTTGTATCCATTTATAAAATACAAAGCTTGCTGTAAAAGGCTGAGCTTCGCATATCCCGGCTTGATTTTGTTTGAGTGGGACCGAGGCGTTCTAATCTCACAGCTGGAACACTGCGCTGTATATGCTATGTAGTTGAGGCTACATACAGCTTCTACATTGCTCCTAGGCCCACTGCATTTTTTAGTGGGAGTAATTTTGTTTTTTGGACTGGCTTGGGCCAAACAAGCTGTTTCTAAAGGATAAGCCCACGTTTTGGGAACATGTCCCATGTTCCACCCATTTTTGTCCCATGTTTCCCACTCCTGCAGCCTCTTCTTGATCCCTCTTCTCATTGTGATAGCGGGCCAGGGATCTTCTCCCCATGCCTGCTGTCACAATTTGAAAAGAGCGTGGTCGTGCGGGGCTCCACCCACATGTCCACGTTGTTCATTCACAGTGTTCTGTGAATGAATGAACTACAAGTACCTAGTGGTCTGCGGGGGGCGCTCTTGTAGTCCTTTGATTTCCCCTGTCATTCTGTAAACTGCTTGCCCATACCAGGTACAAGCAGACTAAGACACTGACAAGCAGCAGGAGCCCTGCATGGCACTTGCGTTCTGCTAATCGTGGGTGCAATGGTTTCTAGGCTCCTACCAGAAAAAAAAAACTAGTAAATGCACATTTTTTTACCTGCAAAAAAAGTGCATTATTTTTTAAGGTGATCTTCTCCTTTCAACTTCACTAAAATCTGGATATCAGCTTTAATAAGCTTTGTGTCTGAGTTTGCACAGAGGTGGTGACCCGCTCCCCTCTCACATGAGTTCTGGTCTGATGATTGGCTGGCATAGCATTGAATCCTGGGTGGAAGGGCTAAAGGTCACATGCTCCTCCATTCCCCAAAACACCAGATGTTTGCAAGGGCAGTAAAGTTGCGTATCTATGGGTCAGGGGTTGCCCTTTCAAGAAAACCTTTCACTTTGGCCTGAATGGGCAAATGACAAATTCTCATGAATCCTTTTACTGCTGCCGCTGTTTAACCCCTTGCCTACCGGGCACTAATACCCCCTTCCTGCCCAGGCCAATTTTCAGCTTTCAGTGCCGTCACACTTTGACAATTGCGCGGTCATGCAACACTGTACCCATATGAAATTTTTATAATTTTTTTCACACAAATAGAGCTTTATTTTGGGGGGTGTTTACTCGCCGCCGGATGTTTTTATATTTTTTGCGTTATAAAACAAAAAAAGAGCAAAAAATTTGTCTCTATTCTAAAATTTTGCAAACAGGTAATTTTTTTCTCCTTCACTGATGTGCGTTGATGAGGCTGCACTGATAGGCAGCACTGATGGCCACTGCTGGGCAGCACTGATGGATGGCACTGCTGGGCTGCACTTGCTGGGCTCTTGTGGGTGGCACTGCTGGGAACTTGTGGGCGGCACTGATGGATGGCACTGCTGGGCACATGTGGGCAGCACTGATGGATGGCACTGCTGGGCACATGTGGGCAGCACTGATGGATGGCACTGGTGGGTGGCACTGCTGGGCACTGGTGGGTGGCACTGCTGGGCACTGGTGGGTGGCACTGCTGGGCACTTGTGGGCGGCACTGCTGGGTAGCACTGCTGGGCACTTGTGGGCGGCACTGGTGGGTGGCACTGCTGGGCACTTGTGGGCGGCACTGCTGGGCACTGATCATCAGGGCACTGATGATCAGTGCCCTGATGATCGGTGCCGATCCCTCCTCTGAGAACTGCAGGATCTCTACTTTCCTCATACTGTGACAGTTGCATTTCCTGGTGATCAGTGTGTCATTGGACACGGCTGATCACGTGGTAAAAGGCTGCTGTGATTGGCCTTTTACCATATCACGTGATCAGCCGTGTCCATAGGACATCGATCATGGAGATTACCAGGTGTGCGCTCCAGGGGGCGTGCAGGAGAGCGCGTTCTGGGAGGACATCCTATGACGCGCTCCCAGAACTGGCCGGCCGCGGTGAAGCCGTCATTCGGCTATCTGTGGTCCACAAGAGGTTAAGTATTGCAGCATGGCAATAACTGGATGTATTTTTGCTGAAAACTTTTATTTAAAAAACTATAGTGTTGTCCATTGTCTTTCTGTCCCTCAGATGTGTCCAGAGACCAACAAGGTAATAATGAACATCGGCCTGTTACTCCTGGCTTTCCCTCCTCCTCAGGAGGACACACAGCTCAGGTAGGCGATGTCACAGCCTTTCTCACTGCCAGTTTGTCTGGACTCGCTTAGCGATCTTATCTTTCTCATAGGCCGAAGACGCATCATACCAGCCTGAAAGTGGCCTGGGACCTGGACACTGGTGTCTTCAGCACGCTGAGTGTAGATGACCTCACTGAAGTCAAAGGTCAAACCAGGCAAGTCATCTCTTTCCAACACACAAAGTTCCTATCTGCTTCCTGCTGTAGGTAGTTGTTAGCAATCGCTGGTCTTCCATTATACCGTATGTATAAAGAGTGGATTGACGTGGATTTTGCTCCCACAGTGGCAGTGTCTGGAGCTCGTACCGGAAGAGTTGCGTAGACACGGTTATGAAATGGTTGGTTCCAGAGAACAGCGTGCGATTTGTGCATCGTATGACCAATGAGGCCCTGCATAAAGGTACGGGAAGTCTGAAGGGGTTATAATATCTGGCCAAATCTCTGTGCTATTGATGGGTATAGCAACCCTATATAATGCAAGGCTTGGCGGGATCAACATTCTACACCAGTCAGATCTGCACAATGCAATGATTTGTGTTTTTGCTGTTTGTTTCCGTCACTGTATGTCTGCCTGATCAAGAAAAAAAAGAACTGAAACTGAATATATGTCCCTTGAGGGACAAACCAGTAAAATAACAACTCGCCCTTTATAAACGGGCCAATTAAGATTTACACGGTGGGTTTTGTGTATTCAGGATAAATTGGCCGTTCCGTGCAAGCTCACCACCCCCTGACCCACTTACACTCGTCTTTCCAATGCTCCCTGTTCTGTTCTTCCATGGTAGCCAGGAGTCCAAATTCTTTGTAAGCTCCGTGTCAGACCTGGAAACACAAGTATTTTGTGAGAGATGGAGTAACAGAGGTGGGGAAGCTTGGAAAAAGGTGAGTATAAGTGGGTAGAGGGGGTTGCTTTCAACTCTTTACACTGAATAGCCAAAGTAAGTCTCTTTATGGCCCCATTAACACGAAGGGTCTGATCAGGTCCGCCTGTCAGTTTTTTATGCAGGCCTGATCGGATCCTCCATTCATTCCTATGGACCAGCGGATATACATAGACTTGTCCTTTTTACAACCACCTAGTTCCAATCCGACCTGGTCCAAAAAAAAATGGAAGGGGATCCATCTATTTGTATCAGAAGGCTGAGTCTGTTTACTCCCGGCCCCCCATAGAGCAAAGTGTTCTCTGTATCCGCTCTGCAGAAACTGAGGGGACATGGACCTGTCATCCACCTGCTTTGCTCTGATCATCGGGATCAGCAGACAGATCTGGTGATCAAAGCAGAGTCTGCTCCATGTATAAGGGGCCCGTAGTAGTTTGTGGATCTGCACATCCATGGTAATATTTCATAGTTGGCTGCAATCTTTCTTGATCTGCCTGACCTTGGCTTGGTATCAAGAGATCCCCTGAAATCTCCACTTCTTAACCTCTTGTCACCTGCCGAACGCAAATGTCCGGCGTCTTGGCCTAGACGCCGAGCGGCCGCACATTTGCGTTCTATTAAAAAAAACATGTGACGAGAGCGCGCGCCCTGCACGCTCCCAGCACACACATTCGGTACTCATGGAAAGTTCCCGATCATTTGACCGCTGTGACAGTGAATCACGTCGGTCACATGACCCTAAAACCCCACCCTGCCTCCCGGCTTCTGGAACCCTTAAAGGGCTGGGAACAGCACTGACTGGCGTATTCATGGCTTTGAATAACTTCTTATATTATTATTATTATTATTATACAGGATTTATATATTATTATTATACAGGATTTATATATTATTATTATTATTATTATTATTATACAGGATTTATATATTATTATTATACAGGATTTATATATTATTATTATACAGGATTTATATATTATTATTATTATTATTATTATACAGGATTTATATATTATTATTATACAGGATTTATATATTATTATTATTATTATTATTATTATTATACAGGATTTATATATTATTATTATACAGTATTTATTTATTATTATTATTATTATACAGGATTTATATATTATTATTATTATACAGGATTTATATATTATATATTATACAGGATTTATATATTATTATTATTATTATTATTATACAGGATTTATATATTATTATTATTATTATTATACAGGATTTATTTATTATTATACAGGATTTATATATTATTATTATACAGGATTTATATATTATTATTATACAGGATTTATATATTATTATTATTATTATACAGGATTTATATATTATTATTATACAGGATTCATTTATTATTATTATTATACAGGATTCATTTATTATTATTCTTATACAGGATTTATATAGCGCCAACAGTTTGCTCAGCACTTTACAATATAAATGGAGACAATACAGCAACAATACAGTTCAATACAAGAGGGATAGGAGGGCCCTGATCCTTGGAGCTTACAATCTAGGAGGGAGGGGCTAGTGGTACAAAAGGTAGTAACTGTGGGGGATGGACTGGTAGGAGAAATAGAAGATTCCAGTATTCGCTGAGGGCAGGATAGGCTTCCCTGAAGAAAGAGGTTTTCATAGATCGCCTGAAAGTGAGCAGAGTAGGCGACAGTCTGATAAATTGGGGTAGAGAATTTCAGAAGATCCGTTTCCATCTTTATAAAGTTCCATTACCTTGTTACGCAGGTCTTTTTGAAAGTTCTTTTCTGCTTCCCATGACTCAGTACCTAGCCTGCTTACCATGAGCGCTAACAAACTCATTGACTATTTATACACTGACACTAATTGCAATTTAAAAAGCCACAGATGTGGGACATTAACTTCTAATTGGCATTTTAACCCGGGTGTGTGTCACCTTGTATGTCTGTACCAAGCAGGGGCGGACTGACCATTCGAGTGCTCGGGGCACTGCCCGAGGGCCCTGTGTCAGTAGGGGGCCCCATGAGATGCCCCTGGTACCTTTCATTTGCTTTTTCATAGGCTTTTTTGGGTGTGGGTGAGAACACAGGGGCCCCATGATCCCCTATTGCCCGAGGTCCCATGAGTTGTCAGTCCGCCCCTGTTACCAAGGCCAAACATTCCGGGGAGGGAAACTTGATCCGGGCCATTTGGGTGATTTCTGTTATGATTTAAAAGGCAGACAAACAACTATGTGAGGATAAAGGGCTTCATGTGATCACCATCCTTACATAAGCATCATTGGTTCTAGCAGAGGAATAGTGCCCCATCGTTGGTTCTAGCAGGAGGAATAGTGCCCCATCATTGGTTCTAGCAGAAGAATAGTGCCCCATCATTGGTTCTAGCAGAAGAATAGTGCCCCATCATTGGTTCTAGCAGAAGAATAGTGCCCCATCATTGGTTCTAGCAGAAGAATAGTGCCCCATCATTGGTTCTAGCAGAAGAATAGTGCCCCATCATTGGTTCTAGCAGAAGAATAGTGCCCCATCGTTGGTTCTAGCAGGAGGAATAGTGCCCCATCGTTGGTTCTAGCAGGAGGAATAGTGCCCCATCATTGGTTCTAGCAGAAGAATAGTGCCCCATCATTGGTTCTAGCAGAAGAATAGTGCCCCATCATTGGTTCTAGCAGAAGAATAGTGCCCCATCATTGGTTCTAGCAGAAGAATAGTGCCCCATCATTGGTTCTAGCAGAAGAATAGTGCCCCATCATTGGTTCTAGCAGAAGAATAGTGCCCCATTACACTGTTCAACAAATTTTTATTTTTTGCCAGTTTTGGAAACAAAAGGATCCATTTCTTAATGAATTTCACATTCTGAGTTCAAATATAACAATGAAATTTGTCAATTGGCTCTAGTTTTTCTGTAAACGGAAAGTTTTCTACTATAGGCGTAATGACTACATAATGCACAATAATTATATAGATGTCTTTCCACAAATATAAAGCAAGTGATATTGACTACATAACAAAGCCTAAATGGCATAATATATTGCATAGGATTACCAAGAAAAATTATAGCCATAAGCTAAGTTGAATCATTTTTAATACTTAGGATTCTCACTAGTTTTGTCTTCAGTTTGTGTCGGTTTTGCTTCTCTTGGCTTTTCTCTTGTAAGTCTGGGTCATGTGAGGTTGACAGTTGATGACTACACGCTTCAGGTTCTTCCTCACTTGACTCAACCACGAAGGATTCTGGTGCTTTAGGAATTGGTAGCCCCTCTCCATGAGGAACTGGACGTATTGCCGATGGAATATTTGGATAGTGCACAGATAACTTTTTCTTCTTATTTAGCCCTTTTACAATTGGAGGCACCATACAAAAGTAACAATTACTAACATGATCTGTTGGCTCTCTCCAAATCATTGGCACAGCGAAAGGCATAGATGCCTTTTTTCCATTCAACCATTGCTCCAGTGCCGTCCCACAAGAATTGCAGCATATATGTGGTGCCCAGCTCTTGTCCTGGTCTCCTATCTTGCAGCCAAAATACAAGTTGTAGGCTTTCTTAATCATTCCTGTTATCCTCCTTTTTTGTGAGATAAAAGTTATTTCACCGCAGATATAGCAGAAATTATCTGCTTTATTCACACAAGTTCGAGGCATTACTGAGTAGCCTATATAAGCATAAAACGAAATGTAAAGACGCTGTCAAACTACAATCAGCTACAGATACTGCAGCTTTTATGCAGTGAAGTGATGCAATTAAAGGCTAATATTGCATCATCTCAGTATACATGCAATTTTCTATTGGTCACCAGTATCAATTGCGCAATATGCAGCTGAAGTTGCATCATAATTTTGAATGGCTTACGTCATTAGATGGGTGAATATATCATGGAAACTAGAGCCAATCAACATTTTTTAGGGTCATTTTCGTTTTCAGCACCCCAAAATTATGTAAGATTAGCTAATTTTATGCCCAAAACTTTTTACCTGTTGAACAGTGTTATTGGTTCTAGCAGGAGGAATAGTGCCCCATCGTTGGTTCTAGCAGGAGGAATAGTGCCCCATCGTTGGTTCTGGCAGGAGGAATAGTGCCCCATCGTTGGTTCTAGCAGGAGGAGTAGTGCCCCATCATTGGTTCTAGCCGGAGGAGTAGTGCCCCATCGTTGGTTCTAGCAGAGGAATAGTGCCCCATCATTGGTTCTAGCAGAGGAATAGTGCCCCATCATTGGTTCTAGCAGAGGAATAGTGCCCCATCATTGGTTCTAGCAGAGGAATAGTGCCCCATCATTGGTTCTAGCAGAGGAATAGTGCCCCATCATTGGTTCTAGCAGAGGAATAGTGCCCCATCAGTGGTTCTAGCAGAGGAATAGTGCCCCATCATTGGTTCTAGCAGAGGAATAGTGCCCCATTGTTGGTTTCAAAGGGCGCAATAGTGCCCATTAATGGTGTCAGTGGGAAGAATAGTGTCCCAAGGGCTGGATACAGGCAAGCAAAGGGCCACATCTAGCCCTCGGGCCACAGTTTGGAGACCGCTGCTATACAGCATTGTTACACGCAGTTGCGTGGTCATGCAACGCTGTACATAAATTACATTTTTAATTTTTTCCGCAAATTGTTATTATTCAGGTACTTATATAGCTCTGTCAATTTACACAGCGCTTTACATATATATTGTACATTCACATCAGTCCCTAACCCTCAAGGGGCGTACAATCTAAGGTCCCTAACTCACATTCATACATACACATACTAGGGACAATTTAGACAGGAGCCAATTACCCTACCAGCATGTCGTTTGGAGGGTAGGAGGAAAGCCGCACAGAGAGAACATGCAAACTCCAGGCAGGTGGTGCCGTGGTTGGGATTCGAACCAGTGACCCTAGTACTGCCAGGCTGAAGTGCTAACCATTTAGCCACTGTGCTGCCCAGTCATATTTTCAATATCAATGCCAACATTTTACAATTTCTGCCAGGGGGTGCAAACATTTGAGCACAACTGTAGGTTCCATTTCAAGGGCTGTCCTCATAATTTGGTGGCACAAGGATGAAGATGACACAACCCCAATCTGAAATGGTTTCTTTCCCTGTTGTTCTGGGTCGTTCCTTTGCATGGTCACATATCACTGTCCTTTGACACCCTGGTCATTTGTCCGCAGGCTGCTCGCTCAAGGTTTTGGCTGACAGCGTTCGCTACACTTGGATCGTGCTGTAATCTGGCTTCCCCGGAGACCTGAACACTACCTCAGCACACGCGGCTCTGTGCACCTGGATAAAGGGATCCTGTGGGTTGAAGCTTCATAGCAGTCCTGTGTTGTTGTTCTGCCATTTAGTGGCCACTTCTAGCAGGAGTGGGGCCACCCGTTGCACCTATTATGAAGAAAGTTACCGTGTCCTGTAGCAGGATAGGTGGACCTGCGTCTTAGAGATCTGTGGCATTCCCCCGCTGAGGTGAAAAGCGTTCCTCTCTCTGCAGGGGACAGATCACCACAGCATCCATTTTAACTTTTTTTTATTTTGTCTGTCCGGAAAGGAGCAGCCGTTTTTTTTTTTTTTTCAAGAGCATGTGTATGTAATTGTGTATATACAGTGTATTCTGTAGAATTTTTTGTTATTCACTATATGTAACTGTTCATTTTTGTGAAAATAAATCAGTATTTCAGTTTACAAGCAATTCATGGATGTTTTTTATTTTCTGGGTATGAAAAAAAAAATTGCTTTGTTACATCTTAACCGTTAATACATGATCTCCGCCATAATAGTGTCTGCAAAGGTGCGCAGATAGATATGAGAAGGATAGATGGATGGATAGATAGGAGGATGGATAGATAGGAGGATGGATATGAGAAGGATGGATGGATATGAGAAGGATGGATGGATATGAGAAGGATGGATACCGTATTTGCTAGCGTATAAGACGACCCCCTACTTTTCCTGCTAAAATGTAGTGTTTGGGCTATATTCGCCATATAAGACTACCCCTCTTCCAGTGCAAAACAGTGGGAGGAATAGTGCCCCATCATTGGTATCAGTGGGAGGAATAGTGCCCCATCGTCGGTATCAGTGGGAGGAATAGTGCCCCATCGTCGGTGTCAGTGGGAGGAATAGTGCCCCATCGTCGGTATCAGTGGGGGGAATAGTGTCCCATCGTCGGTGTCAGTGGGGGGTGGAATAGTGCCCCATCGTCTGTGTCAGTGGGGGGTGGAATAGTGCCCCATCGTCGGTGTCAGTGGGGGGTGGAATAGTGCCCCATCGTCGGTGTCAGTGGGGGGTGGAATAGTGCCCCATCGTCGGTGTCAGTGGGGGGTGGAATAGTGCCCCATCGTCGGTGTCAGTGGGGGGTGGAATAGTGCCCCATCGTCGGTGTCAGTGGGGGGTGGAATAGTGCCCCATCGTCGGTGTCAGTGGGGGGTGGAATAGTGCCCCATCGTTGGTGTCAGTGGGGGGTGGAATAGTGCCCCATCGTTGGTGTCAGTGGGGGGTGGAATAGTGCCCCATCGTTGGTGTCAGTGGGGGGTGGAATAGTGCCCCATCGTTGGTGTCAGTGAGGGGGGGGAATAGTGCCCCATCGTTGGTGTCAGTGAGGGGGGGGAATAGTGCCCCATCGTTGGTGTCAGTGGGGGGTGGAATAGTGCCCCATCGTTGGTGTCAGTGAGGGGGGGGAATAGTGCCCCATCGTTGGTGTCAGTGGGGGGGAGGAATAGTGCCCCATCGTTGGTGTCAGTGGGGGGGAGGAATAGTGCCCCATCGTTGGTGTCAGTGGGGGGGAGGAATAGTGCCCCATCGTTGGTGTCAGTGGGAGGAATAGTGCCCCATCATTGGTGTCAGTGGGAGGAATAGTGCCCCATCATTGGTGTCAGTGGGAGGAATAGTGCTCCATCATTAGTATCAGTGACACCAATGATGGGGCACTATTCCTCCCACTGACACCAATTACACTTGCTGACCTCTGTTCTAGTATGGTGCTGCTGCAGCCAGCATATGTGGTTGCAGCAGCACCTCTACACTGAAGAGTTACCTGCTGCTCCTGCACTCGATTTTCGCGGGGGCCGCTCGGCTCCGCCCCCTCACCGGTGATTGGCCGCCTGTGTGCCTTTCCTGAGCTACAGTTCTGGCGGCCAATCACCGGTGAGGAGGTGGAGCCGAGCAGCCGCCCGAACATCCAGTGGCCGAACTGAAGGAGCAGCCGCGCTTCCTGGACCGGATCGTCGTGGGACCGGAGCCAGGTAAGAAACAGCCCCTGCCCACCCCTGTACTTAGTGTCCCTTCCGTTGGGGGGGGGGGGGGCGGCGGCACCGCGCCACCCCCCTAAAAGTGTCAGTATGCCGTATACCGGCGTATAAGACGACCCCCGACTTCAGAGGAGATTTTCAAGGGGTAAAAAGTCGTCTTATACGCCGGCAAATACGGTAGATATGAGAAGGATAGATAGATAGATATGAGGATGGATAGATATGAAAAGGATAGATGGATATGAGGATAGATAGATAGATATGAGAAGGATAGATGGATAGATATGAGAAGGATAGATGCATAGATATGATGGATGGATATGAGGATAGATATGAGAAGGATGGATGGATAGATAGATATGAGGATGGATAGATATGAAAAGGATGGATGGATATGAGGATAGATAGATAGATAGATATGAGAAGGATAGATATGAGAAGGAAGGATAGATGGATAGATATGAGAAGGATGGATGGATATGAGGATAGATATGAGAAGGATGGATGGATATGAGGATAGATAGATATGAGAAGGATGGATAGATATGAGGATAGATAGATATGAGAGAAGGATGGATGGATAGGAGGATAGATAGATAGATATGAGAAGGATGGATGGATAGAGGATAGATAGATATGAGAAGGATGGATGGATAGATATGAGAAGGATGGATGGATAGGAGGATAGATAGATAGATATGAGAAGGATGGATGGATAGGAGGATAGATAGATAGATAGATATGAGAAGGATGGATGGATAGGAGGATAGATAGATATGAGAAGGATGGATGGATAGATATGAGAAGGATGGATGGATAGGAGGATAGATAGATAGATAGATATGAGAAGGATGGATGGATAGATATGAGAAGGATGGATGGATAGGAGATAGATAGATAGGATAGATAGATAGATAGATATGAGAAGGATGGATAGATAGATATGAGAAGGATAGATGGATAGATAGATATGAAAAGGATAGATGGATAGATATGAGAAGGATGGATGGATATGAGGATAGATAGATATGAGAAGGATGGATGGATAGATATGAGAAGGATAGATGGATGGATATGAGAAGGATAGATAGATATGAGAAGGATGGATGGATATGAGGATAGATGGATAGATATGAGAAGGATAGATGGATAGATATGAGAAGGATGGATAGATAGATAGATAGATAGATAGATAGATAGATATGAAAAGGATAGATGGATAGATAGATATGAGAAGAGGATGGATAGATATGAGATAGATAGATATGAGAAGGATGGATGGATATGAGAAGGATGGATAGATATGAGAAGGATAGATGGATAGATAGATATGAGAAGGATGGATGGATAGATATGAGAAGGATGGATGGATAGATATGAGATAGATAGATATGAGAAGGATGGATGGATGGATATGAGGATAGATAGATATGAGAAGGATGGATGATGGATGGATATGAGAAGGATAGATAGATATGAGAAGGAAGGATAGATATGAGGATAGATAGATATGAGGATAGATAGATATGAGAAGGAAGGATAGATATGAGGATAGATAGATATGAGAAGGATAGATATGAGGATAGATAGATATGAAAAGGAAGGATAGATATGAGGATAGATAGATATGAGAAGGATAGATATGAGGATAGATAGATATGAAAAGGATAGATGGATAGATAGATATGAGGATAGATAGATATGAGAAGGATAGATATGAGGATAGATAGATATGAAAAGGATAGATGGATAGATAGATATGAGGATAGATAGATATGAGAAGGATGGATGGATGGATATGAGAAGGATAGATGGATGTACATATATAGATAGAGAGAGACAGATACACAGATAATGCATTCCGAACGTATTCAGACACCCGTCACTTTTTTCCAATCTTGGTAGGTTATAGCCTGATACTACAGTTGCTTTAAATTCATTTTCGCTCTCCTGAATCTACACTCAGTACCCCATAATGAATACAAATGTACCCCACACGGATGTTTTGTAAATAATTTTGAAAACCATTAATCATTTTTCTTCCACTTTACAATTATGTGCCACTTTGTGTTGGTCTATCACATTAAATCTCCATAAAATACATTTATGTTTTTGGTATTAACATGAAAAAATGTGGAAAATTTCAAGGGGGAAGAATACTTTCAAGTGTGTGTGTCTTATATATATATCTGGAAATGAAAACAGAAGTCTGTGTCATGTGACTGGTTCTGTGTCCAATCATATCTCTTCTTCATACTTGATACAAAATTAAAGAAAATCTCAGGAACAAAAACCTTTTTTTTTTTTTTTTTTTTTTCCAGTATGTCTGGAAATTGGCAGGTTTTTACTGCTGTCACCAGTGAAGAGATTTCCCCTCTCTTCCTGTCTTGGTGAGTGCCGGATCACATACAGTGGATATAAAACGTCTACACACCCCTTTTAAAATATCAGGTTTCTGTGATGTATGAAAATGAGACAAAAACGAATCATTTCCAAACTGTTTTCACCTTTAATGTGACCTATAAACTGTACAACTCAGTGGAACAACAAACTGAAATCTTTTAGGTGGAGGGAAGTAAAAAAAAACACTAAAAATAATCTGGTTGCATAAGTGTGCACACCCTTAAACTAATACTTTGTTGAAGCCCCTTTTGATGTGTTTCCAGCACTCAGTCTTTTTGGGGATGAGTCTATCAGCATGGCACATCTTGACTTTGTAATATTTGCCCGCTCTTCCTTGCAAAAACACTCTAAATCTGTCAGATTGTGAGGGCATCTCCTGTGCACAGCCCTCTTCAGATCACCCCACAGATCTTCCATTGGATTCAGGTCTGGGCTCTGGCTGGGCCATTCCAAAACTTTCATCTTCTTCTGGTGAAGCCATTCCTTTGTTGATTTGGATGTAAGCTTTGGGTGGTTGTCATAATGAAAGATGAAGTTCCTCTTCATGTTCAGCTTTCTAGCAGAAGCCTGAAGGTTTTGT